AATCAATCAATCAATTAATCAATCAATCAATCATCATCAGTCAATCAATCAATCAATCAATCATCAATCAATCAATCAATCAATCAATCTTTTTTTTTTTTCCCGAAACCCCAGCACCCCCCCCACCACCCAACCCCCAAACGAACAATTTTTTTTTTCTTGTTTTTTACTTCGGGGGGGTAGGCCCCGGTGTGCACACCCCCCCCCAACCCCTCACGTGTCAGAACCCCCCCGGGAAGGCTGCCGAAATGGCTCGTATGGACGCCTGGGGTCCGTACGTACGACCGTATGGACCGTACGGACACCCCGTATTTGTACGGGGTGTCACACAGACTCACACCAGACGGAAAACTCTACAAACACGCAGCTGATTTGGGGCACAGTTGTTTTGTATAATTCTCGTAAGGGCGGCGCTGCGCCCGGTTCCCATCACATGTTGCTCCCCGCGAATAAATTGGACCAATGTTTCTCTTTCTCTCTCTCTCTCTCTCTCTCTCTCTCTCTCTCTCTCTCTCTCTCTCTCTCTCTCTCTCTCTCTCTCTCTCTCTCTCTCTGTCTGTATGTCTCTCTCTCTCTCTCTCTCACACACACACACACACACACACACACACACACACAACAACAACAACAACAAGAACAACAACCAAAAAAAAAAAAACTCTCACAACAACAACCAAAAAAAAAAAAAAAGCAGAGGTGGGAGCACCCAGGATAACATCCAACCATAAGCACATGCTTGGTGGGAGTAACCCACACTCTCTATAGCAAAACACCCACGGAACAGCGAAGGGGGGGTCTGTCACACCCAGAAACTACACTCCAGACACACCACTGGGAGAACAGGGGCATAGCATGGCCACGTAGTGACGGCCCCAACGACTGCCGGTCAACCTAACAGGAGAAAACCAGTTTATAAAAAACAGAGGTGGGGACCACCCACCTTGCGTGCAAGGAGCTAGGGACTAAGGGAAGTCATCGTGGTGCGAATCCTCATAGAGAACTGCCCAGTGAACCTTCTTTTTTTTTTTTTGATAAAGAAACGAACTTTATTATACAAGCCGAGAAACGGGCACCTTAGGCAGAGAGGAAAAGAGGACCACATAGGTTATATATAATATAGATACATATATCATCATATATATTCAAACAGCGCTGCCCCGTAAACCGTAGGCAGAGAGGGACAAGAGAGAGAAGAGGACAACAAACGAGGGGCTGTGACAAACTGTTTCGTCGGAGTTTCACCGACTGACTCATCAGGAGGCCGAACCATATAGGTATGTACTATGTTGTTGTAGAGTATATAATATAATAATATTATTATTATTATATTTATTTCTAAGTATTTTCCATTTTATATATTTACTTTTAAATATTTAATTACCAGTTGGTCCGACTTGCGCCTCAGGATGTTGTGTTTGATGACGAAGTCTTCCTCCTTGGCCATAGCGAAAGCATTGAGTTTCTTCAGCTCTTCGTCTAGCAAAGCCACCCACTCAGTTTCTTTCATTGTGTACGGACCCTGCACCAGCTCAGGCAATTCTTCCTGGGGGAAGAGACCTCTGCCGCCACCATTTTTTGCAACTGCTGATAGTTATTTTAACATTTTTTTATTAAAAAAAAAAAGCACCCAGCCAAACATACCAAAACGCGCCCAGAACAAGCAACCAGAGGTCAGTAGTTATTAAACCAACAGTCCATCTGGACCCTTTTCTTTTTTTTTCTTTTTTTTTTTAATGAACAGGTCCTTATGGGCCTGGCTCCTTTTCCATGCTGGGGAGCATCAGTCCAGTTCCTATTCCCCCAGCAAGTCAGAAAAATATTACATCATGAAACACACTCACGCTTCCTTCCATATGGCTGAAGGACCCCTGACCAGCATTGATTGCTCCCTTGATGGAGGATTGACTGTCAGCTTGCCCTAACAACTTGCTCCTCTCAGGTACCCCTCTTGGGCCTGTCAAAAAGATCTATTCAGAACGAGAGAAAGTGGTAGGATCTGCCTCCAGTTACTAATCTGAATCTCCTTCCTTTCACAACGTTCCCGCCTGATATCCTTGTTGCTCGGCATAGGACGCTGTTGTCTGTATCGGAACTACTCCATTGATCGCAAGGTAGCACCTTGTGAGTTGTGCCAGTCCTTCCACTGGACATAGGAGATCTCTATCTCTGCGACTTTCCTTCAATCAGCCAGATCTTAGTAAACTAAACTGTTCTGTGCTCTGTTACTCGTCCTCGTCTGGTAGTGAGAGTCTTGCCTTATCCATCCTTATCCAAAAGCCATCCTGACCCCTGTCCTAAATTTCTCTACCCTCTCTGAGAATTCCTTAAACCCCTAATCCCTAAACCCTTCATTACTATCCTGCTCTATGGGACCCTTACTTTCGTCTTTTTTTTTTTTTTTTTTCTTTTGACAAACCAGAAGTTGCATTTTCCCGAGCCTGGAATCTTTTTCATTTTTCTTTTTTTCCTTTTTTCTTAATTTTTTTTCAGTTCTTTTCTTTTTTTTTTTTTTTTGTCTTTCGGGACATCTGTTAAAATTGGAACGATACAGGGAAGGCAGATTAGCATGGCCCCTGCCCAAGGATGACACGCATAAATCGAGTCATGGTCCAAATTTTATTAAGAAAATAAAATGTTTTTTTTTTTTCCCCCGAGCCTGGAATCTGCAGTGCTGCTGTGAGGAACAATACTTGTGGTAACAACAACAAAAAAAAAAAGTGGTACCCTTCCCCACCGAACCTCTACTGGAACAGTTCTCTCTCTCTCTCTCTCTCTCTCTCTCTCTCTCTCTCTCTCTCTCTCTCTCTCTCTCTCTCA